CGCCATCATTTAATGTTTTGTATATTTGCAGCTACACACGGCATCACACATTATTTACTAGTATTAATTATCTTACTGTCATGCAGTTTAGGATTACAGTGTCTATACTAGAAAAGACAGGGTGGGTTACAGAATGGAATTACAACATTAGACAGCAAGGCTCAAAACTGACAGGCAATAATCATACATTTCTATTACACAATTCCATGATCAAATTAAAAGAGAAAAAAGTCACTGTGGTAACATGAAATTTGGTATGACAATTCACAAATGACCAGATTCTACACGACCAAATATTCGCCTCTTTTTTTTTTTTTTGAGCCATGCAAGTTGAAGGGTCATGAACACACAGGGTATCAAAACAGACAGGTTAGACTCAGTGGCAACATGGAACATTTGGGATCGAGTGAATAAAAGACAGAATCACATACCCATTTTTCCACATCAACTAGCTGTAGAAAGAAAAAGCAAGAAATCAGTAAATCTCTTTCCTTAAATATAGCATATCAAAGTCTATTTTGAAGTTAACATTTCACATTTTTGGAAATGTATCTAGTATGAAAGAAAATATATGAGTCTAAGTTACTCTCCTGGCAGCTTCTCTTTAAAATGCCAATACCTCGCTTTTTGTCTTTATTTTGTGGAAAGCACTTCAAATTCTGGAAGTCCAAAATGTCCATCTAAATATTAGATAATAGGCAGCAAAAGAAGACTGATGCTGAATTGATTCCACAGTGTATTCAGTACCAACCAGTCAAAAAAACAGAACACAGTTTCCCACAAATCGTATTCCCATGTCTTCTTGAGTAAAGCTCTGTCATAAGTGAACATTATTCACTTGAAAAGGTTCCATTGCTGCTATTCAGTTTGCCACGTTAGTGAATGCCCTCAGTATAAAAGGTAAAATTAGGGGTACCTGTCACACCCTGACCCTACAACCTGCAATGTAAGAGAATAACATGCATGAGAACAGAGAACACCACATCAAAATGCCATTCAATTTTCTGATGGGGAAAGAGAGAATGTTTTCAAAAGCTTAAGGTTTTGTATTAACAAAATTGTTTCAAGGTTCATTAAGGAAACAGATTTTAAATTATTTTCTCTAAAAAGTTTTTGGACTATCTTAGAGTCTCATAAAGGATCGAGAATAACTACTAGAACACATTTCAGCTACTAGAAGAGTTTGTATGACACTACCTATTAAAAGCTTAGTTGACAACAGCAACAGTATATCTGAAGCAGATTTGTCTCTGGACTTTGCACAGAAAACACTGCAACATATCATGCTTTCCATGGTTTTACTGCAGGTACATATTGACCTTTCATTAGCAGATGCCACATAAAAGTTTAACAATATTTTAAGACAGGTTAGGGAAAACCATGAGTAATTTTCAATAACAGTAATATTCAGATTCCAACTTGCTTGTGAAATTACTGTAATAAAAGGCAATATATTTAGTTCTCATCTATTAGAATAGCTCTGCTCAAAGTAAATTTTCTCACTTTTTTAATATACACTTCAATTAAAGAGGAGTTTTATATTTTTAATATTGTTCAGTCCTGCTAGCACACAAAATTCTGATATATCTCTATTTTTTAATAATCTTTACTGTGACTTTTATTATCAACCATAGCTGCAGGAATCCCTCCTAAGAAACACCTAAATGTTTTAAAACAGATGCAATATAAGAAAAAAAAATCATTAAGATGTTGATATATTAGGGAAGGAAGCAATAATTTAAATCTAAATGCAAACAATACAACTAAAACGTCTTAAAGAAAAAAAATCTAGCCAAGTTAGATTTATGTACAAGTACTTCATTTTTTACCATTGTTTTAGATACATCTTTTGTTTTGTTAAAATTGTATATGCTCTGAAAACAGCACTGCAAGCAACTTGCCTGTGTGACAATGCTAGAAAGAGGTGAACTGATTCATGCTTTATTGCCTTGCTTTGAGAAGTGCATGCTGTCCCAAAATGTACGTGAATAGGGCAGTATTGGTATTAGAAAGAATTTACTCAAAGGTCAACATACATTATCAGTTCTACAATTAATTGCCTTATAATTGCTGAATTGTCCATTTACTTTATTTTAATGAACACCAGTTATCTTCAAGAGTCAAGTGCAATATTTGCCAAGTATTTATAAACTCTACAGACAAATTCTGCATTTGAATACTCACCTTTAAGCAGAAGTGTCAACAGGCTTTGGCATATGCCAAAGGCACCTTTATTCAGGAGTCTCACAGGACAAGCATTTGAATGGTACATGTACACTTGACAAACCATACAGTTTGACACCCACACGACATTTGCACAGGAAAGATTATGAATGTACCCAAAGATGTTTCTGGTACAGTGTGCAGCACAACAAAATCTTGCATTTGTAATTATGGCCATATTAAATAGGCTCTCTCCTCTGAACTTCTTCAGAGCCCTCCCAGATCCAGTGTGCTTCCTTTTCATTCAGAGACTGAAGTCACAAGACCTTTCTTACAGACCACTTTGACCAAAGTTCTAAAACTTGTCTGTGCAACATATGTAGATAAAATTTAGTTTGCTTTTACCTTATGGAACCTATTCTGGAAGAGCTATGACCTTCTAGACATTTAATATCCCATTTAGGGGCAAAAAAAGGCATAAGCACGACCTAATAATATATTTACTTATCTGGAAATTCCCAGTAATGCATATTTGGTAAAGTTAAAAATAAATAATATGAGTAATCATATTTTATATATATATATATATATATATATATATATATATATATATAAATACTATGAGTAATTTTCCTAAAGTAGACAAAATAGATGTAAAGCTCGCACAAACAGATACAAAGATACGAAGCAAGCAGATACTTCACAGCACTCCTATATACCGATTCTGTTCCACACTTAGACCTCCATCTTTTGTCTGACTTCAAGACTAGAAGCAACAGGAACCCCTTTTCCCACAGATTTCCCAGTATTCATCCAAATTCAAGAAACACTAAGATTTAAAGTTCCTGTTGCTATACATGCATTAGTCAATTATCCGGGGGGGAGAACTGAAGAAAAATTAAAAACCTAACATAACAAAGCAAGACAAACCATGAAACCCCTCCTCACCCCGTACCCCCTCCCAAAAGGCCCACATACTCTCAAGAAACCAAACACATTAACACAAAAACATAAAAAAACCCAAACAAATTGTAACATTCTCTTCTATTAGACCACATTTTGCCACCTCCCTTTTTTGGAGTGTTTAATGCTCCCTAGATTTGGAATTATCTGTTCTTACCATAAAATATTCAGTTTGGGTTTTGCTGAGCTGTTTACCTCTTAGGAGGTGTAGATCTTCCAACTGGACTAGGAAAGTTTACAATTCAGGAAGGGTTGGGGGGATGGCAGACAGGGACTAGCAGTCACTTCTGTGGCCTCTTGCACTGTAAACTGCTTAATTTCTATCATACATTATGTTTAACACAGTCTGAAAGAACAGTACAATCATTTATTTTATAAAGCACAGACAATTCTGCCTTGTCACAATAAATCCAAATCCCTGGAATTCAATAACTATTCTTCTTCTGGATCATTTTCTCTCCTGATCATTTAATCACATTGTTTGGAAAAATAAAATGCTTAGGTAGGTTTATACTGATTTTTCTCTTTTTCTTTATCCAAAGACTATAGATTTACAACATTTCCTCCAGTAGAGGATGCAGAATCCAAATTAAAACATATATACCTCCAAGGCAGTATGCTACTTAGAAATATTCTTTCCTCATCTACCTGGGTTTTTACTAAGGGAAAAAAAAAAAAAAAAGAACATGACCCTGTCTAACACTGCATATGAAAATTTAGTGGGCTCATTGCCATGTGACAGTTCTGAATATAGAAAATTATTATCTTACCATGAGAGTATCAGAGTTAGCAAAAGGATGAAGGATGTCATATCTCCAGAATTTACTTAGTGATTTTGTAGTACTTATACTACAATAATCATTTCACGGAAAGCTACTAACTTGAACTTGAAAGAATTATTTCACTGCCTACTGCGAGAAAGTAGCCATCAACGTAACTAATTTAATAAGTTGAAAATATGACACTTCAAACTAGAGAGCAGTATTTTATGGGTAATAAAATGGTATGGTACTCATGTATATGGATGTCTAAAAAATACAGGTAGAATAAGGAGAAAATGACAAGGATTCAAAGTCATATTCTAAGAATCAAGCAAAAGATCAAAGATGGCATTTAGCATTAGAAAATAATTTCTCTTCTTGAACTAGAAGAGAGCACTGTACTACAGAGTCTTAATACTTCCCTTACAATTTCATAGAGCTCTAGTGAGAAGTCTTCAGTGAGGAACATACAGTCACAACTTAATAATTTACTGCTATGCAAATCCAGAAATTTCAGGGATCTGCACTTGCTGACTTCTCTTCAGAGGCACATTAGAGGTCCAATCTTTTCAGGCAAGCTTTCATTTTCAACACATTTAATCCAAACTTGAAAGCTGTTTTTTTCATCTTTATTTTTCCTGAGCACTGCATACATCTAGCATTACCTTAACCAGACATAAAAGCCAGTTAAAAGAGCAGGAACATAGTTTTATTAACCATCCTTTCTCTTGCCAACAGGAGCCATGAACTAAATGAAGAGAAATAGAGGGACCTCTTCACCATTATGAGGAGTCATTCACAAACTCACCTTTTTAAATCTTTTAAATCTTGACATAAAGAACGCTCACAGAACACATGCCAAATATCCACTAATACAGCAGTATTGATTGCCAGTGCACAAAGCTGCAAACTAAGCTCCTTTAAGCCATGAAACCAACCTCCCATTCCTAATTCTGGCTTCTATACTCTGTTTCCTTTCGTCTGCTTGATCAGCATACAAAAATACTAAGGAACTTTATTCCACGCAGCATAGAAGAATCTCAGCTGACTATGGTTAATCACATTCTCTACAAATATTTATGAAAACTTCATGATATTTCTAATTATCCACAGATGGGATTGTGAGCTGAAACCTCAATGAAGATATGTATTCCCACCTGTGGATGTTATAGCTTCCCTTACAGTTACACTTAATTTTTTTGTTTGTTTTTAATGAAGAAGGAAACTCTTATTAGAAAAAAACACATTTTTTTTCCATGTCTCAGTTATGGAAATTGAGAACATAAATTAAAACCTTTGTCTAAAATTTTTATGAGATAAGCAAGGTAAGAATGATTAACATTGAACCAGAAAGATTCCAAATCTAATTGTATTTTTTACTTCTGTTACAATACTTCATTAGCTTCATAGACACCTTGATTTCCTGAATTTAATGCTCAACGAGTTAATTGATGATATGCCTTCTCTTCCAGCCCAGGCTTGTCTTCCACTGCAGACTTTTGTCTTCAAGATGCTTCAAGAGCTGTGCTTTCATGTCTATTTGGTTTAACTCCTCTGAATGCAAC